TAGATCTTTTCGTGTAAGTTCTTGAGCTACTATCTTTGTACACATGACGTCCGTGAATAGCGTTCAGCTCACTATCTTCTACAAAAGATTTCAGAACAGATAAAGAAAAATATCTCCTTTGTAAAGAGGAAGGAACAAGCCCAGGCTCAGCGAATAAAACGAAATTCGCTCTCAAATTCGAATTTCCCAACGTCAGAAATCCTTCGGTCTACTCTGAAAAAGGATGTTAATAACTCGTGGCTAGTCAATGGAAAATTAATTAAGCGACACTAACGTCGGACTCGTGATCCTCGACCCCGATTACCCTTCGGTCAACCCTCACTCAACAACGAAGAAAATTTTCATTGCTTAATTAGCTAATGAGCTAATTCGAATTTCGAGAAACGAACCTCAGATTCGAGTTTCCCAACCCCGAAAACCTTTCATCAATCGTTTGCTAATGACCATGGTTAAGTTTTCATTCATTTATTGAATGCTGTAATCTGATTGGATTATGCAAACAAGCAAGCAAACCTTTTGCATTTCAACGATCAGATTTATGACGCTATACCCTTTCTTTCAGAAAAGGGAACAATACTTTGATTGAACTTATATAATTTAGTCATTAGGACAACAAAATGAAAATGAAACCACTTCTACTTTTGCTCATAATAATACACAACATTCGAGCGCCTTTGGTTAATTTTAAATACTTTCTTTACATTCAAAAATACTTTTTTTTAAAGAGAAATCAATAGATAAAAGTTATTTGGCGATATCACTTATTTATGTCAAAAGATAGCTCTCGATATTCTGTGGGTGTTAGTGGGCACCACCAGCTTGCGCCCTCACAAAGTTGGGTGATTGTGGTGATAGCATAGAATACTAATACCTGAATAATGTGACATCTAAACCAACCATAATTCAAGAACTAAAACGTGCGGGGAAAAAATTCGAAAAGATATTGTGTTAGAAAGTTGTGCTTTTTGGACCACGATCGACTGTATGGATGTGACAAGATAATGGAAACTCTTAAAAATAATAAAAATATCTAGTTTCATAGAGAATTATACAGGGAATCTTTCTATAGACAAATAATTTTTTCTAGCTCGAATTATAGGTAAGAAAAATGCAAAATACTGGGGAGATCATTCTTTATGGTCCATCCGTTAGTAAACTTCTTCTAGTGAAAGGAGATTTTCCGGACATGTTTTTCATAGTAGTTTTGTATTTTTCCAAGTAAAAGAAACTAGAATTTCCCACAAGTTTACAAAGTCGTAGCAAGAGGGGGGTTTAGAATGAAATATCGGTAGTAAATTCATTTTTTATTTATTTACAGAACAAATAACACGAGAATGAAGATTATAAGAATAAAGACTATGGTATAATCATATTTACTAGAACTCATATTCGTTGGAGGAACAGTTGAGTTCTTTTCTCCTGGATATGGATGATATTCTTGTTTTCGTGCACATCTTCACCCTCAGAGCTTTTATTTCAGATAACAGTGAGACAATACAAACTCAAACAACATTTATTGAAAGTTGTCAAACTAAATAAGACATTTGAATCATGTCAATTAACTGTTGCATATTGAACTCACAGATCCGTCGTACCTACTGGTATCACTCTTCTTGTCGTTACGACAGTAGATAAATGGTGTGGTCGTGTCGGTGACATACAGAAGATTTTCTTCTCGATCGTTTTGCGTAATTCTGGATATTGACTTAAAGCTGTAAATGGAAAGAGTAAAGTAATATAATATGCAAAAAAGTAGAAATAAAGGCGAGCTTGAGCACCGTAGTCTGATGGTAAACCGCACATATGAGCAAAAGTAATAAGATAAATTGGTAAGTTAATACACATATTAATACCAGTTACTAAACATAGTTGAATAATCATTCGTCTTTGTTTACGCCATTGATCAGATTGATGAAGGCGTCGTTTTTGCCATTGAACACGTAAAATAAGAGCAATACTAATGATTCCTTCCAATATAATAGGTGCCCAATTATTAGCAAATAAATCCCAAAAACCAAAAACACCATATGATTGATAACATGGTGATATTCCACATGCTGGTGCTGTATAATCATAACTGTTTTCACAAGGTATGAAGAAAACAGCAATTATATAAAAGAGAAGAACATATGTAACAAGAGAAATTAAAGGAAAATAATGAAAAAGAAAACGTCCTTTTCGATTTCCCACCCATTGATGATGAAATATTAAAATATGTCGTTCAAGAGCCAACCAAGCTAAAAGAATAACACCTCCATTATAAAAAGTAATATCAATCCACCACCATATAATACAAACAATTGGTTTTGATGTTACAAACGAATTATATTGATAAAATATAAGATATAATATCATATCTGGTAATTGAACAGGGAGATTTGTAAGAAGGATAACGAGAATTGTATGATTTTGTAATGCATGTCGCCGAGTTCGATTCATAATAATATGAACAATGATACAGAAAGTGCAGATAATCGATGGAATATCACTTAAAAGGAAAAACCAGAAACGAACTATACGTGGTAGGGAAATTTCTGAACTATCAGATGAAGTATCATCAGTGTTAGAACTGTTGTTTGTAGACATCATTTATAATAATAATAATGAAAGATTCGAAAATGAATGACAAATCTTTCTTTTTTATGAATAGAAGTTATCAATTAAAAAGTGTGAAATTGATAGGACAGGTAGATGAAGTGTTAAACTGAAATTTATAATTAGAAACAATTCATGTGAATTATCAGGCTTAACACTGTCACGCAGATATCATCAGTTAAATTTGGTGACATGAAAGATCTCATTTTTTGCGCAAAATCATTCAAAATTGCGTTGTATACTGATTAATGTGTCACTTTGAACATAAGGGAGAGGGTGTGGGTGTAGATAGGTATAAGTGAAACTAAATCTATTTCTATTCCTATGTAGATAGGGATTGTAGTGTGCTAGGAATAGGCCACTTATATTATAAGTCGAATTAGGCAGCTACTCCATAGTACCTGTTAATTTCTCATAAATATCATATTAAAAATGAATTTACTATTATTTATGTACTTTATTTATATAGATAATCTGTAAATAAGTCGAATTGAATATGATTAATTATTAATTCAAATTGATTTTGCCATCAGTAGATTCTTTAGTAAGATCAATAACAGTATCGTCATCGCAGCTGTTCTCATCCTCGATGTTTTTAAATTCTACATAGAATTTTGTATGGCATAGGAGTAAATCCTACAATACATGCTTGAGTAGAAACTTCGCTAATGTTTTTTAAATTTCTAATATAATTCTCCCGATATCTCTGAATTTCAATTAGATTTCTTTCTCGTATGTTTTATACGATGTGATAGAATAAGTGCTATAATACAAAATGCTGAATTCTGCAGGCCCTCTTCATAAGAGAGGAAGGGAATAGTTTATTAACGCATATGGAGCTTTAGCAACTGATGAAAATAGATTTCCATCCAAAGTTTGTGCGTTGCTCAGCATCACTGAAGCTCAGGAGAAGCGAATGTCTTGTACCTTCGCAATTGGGCTGGTTGTAAGTGAAACCACTTTGGCCTTCAGCGTACCATTTATAGCTTCCATGCTTTGGAATACTGTTGCAGCCACATGCATTTATAGATTGGGAAGAACCAGAGAAGTAGTTGCCATCATAAACTACCATTTGTGATGCGGATACGAAGGTAGCAAAATATATGAAAAGAGCCACTGCGATGGTGCTAATCTTCATGGCTTGGAGAATAACTTGTTGCATTGAAAAGAATGGGTATCTTGAGTGAATGCAGTATTTATCGAAAACTTGAAAACTTAGATTGTTTGATAGCGAATACAGGGGGCATAGACGTCCTATATATATATATAACTTTACCTGGTGTATAAATGTATAGCTCGACACTTGAATTCTATCATTCAATTATTCGAGCACTCAATTATTCAACTCTTATACTTGAAGAGTATTCAATTATTCGAGCACTCAATTACTCAACTCTTATACTTGAAGAGTATTCAATTACCCAGCTCGATTAATCTCATACTCGGATTCTAATAATGTGAATCGATAACTTCTAACAAATTCCAATATAAATCTTAAAATATGCCCTGCAAACAAGGAAAACGATGCACTACACTCGCGCACATTATTATATCATCACTATTCGGAGCTGTTCATGAACGAATATTTCTCGACGCTAAAAACAAATCCATCTTCCTAACCATCATATATTCAATAGAGATTAATTCTCATATTTTCACCGCATAATTTCATCAGACACGAACCCTTTAGCGATTATCGCTGGTACCGATAGTGAACGCTCATACCAAAACAACACATAACAAACCGCAGTATCCTATCCATTATGCCCTTACATAATTCAATTACATCAATCAAAATTTCTGCTTAGCAAATTTTACACTCATTACAGCGCTTCATCCACATAAGCCCATCCTGCGATGCATCCCCGATGTTTTATGAATCTTTGTCGTTGAACGCTTCTACATTTTGAGACGAAGCTTCAGTTAGTCATTAGTTTTCCATCAGCGTATAGAACTCTAGTGATATCCCAATGGCAGCTTCTAAGAATAAAAAAATTAATGGTGAGTTTACATGGACCGATTGACGGTTCGTGTGTAATATAAGCGATTAGTACTTATATAAATGCTACTAGGCGTGCAACAATCCCGATTCCACCTAATTCCAGCTTCTGTTCCATCGGATCAATCCTTCTCCTTTACATTCCGGCTACTCTTTCGCCCGACCCACCTTTCTCCCGAGTATTCCGGTCTCGCAGGCCCTAGTCTCATACCTAAAACGAGGTCTCCGGCAAGCCTGCAGCGAGTTCCGATCCAACAATATCCCACTCCGTGCACTCACACCTCACTCAAGTACTTCAATCTACTTCGAAATGAATCTGAGATATGTCCACCTTCTATACATGTATAACTCTCTGAAGTATTGTATGTAGTTCACGATAAACAAGCTTTTGAAATGCTGGCAGCATTTAAGAGAGCACGATCGCAAAATCGAAAGCCGGATTGCGAAGTTCTGAATAATGTTTTTCAGTTGTCTCTTGCACTCCTTGTGGTTGCGGACGAATGATGTGTGCTGGAAGGAAGCCGGGTGGTATATGAAGTTGCTGATGGTTCAATATTTTCCGGCGGGAGTCTGTTGTTAGATTGATTTGAATAGCGTTTCGTTTGAATTTTAATGTTGTGCGAATGATTCTGGCAAGTTCTCGTAGATCTGGACTGAAAAAACAGGAAAGAAAGATGTTCAAATTATCCAATGGGCTAGATTGTAGTATGATGGTTTTGAAGATAATATTCTGGGGATTCCCAGCGAAGCATCTTTAGAAAATAGAATTCAGTGCAATTAAATTTTCTTCTTTTTATCTCATTTTTCCAATTAACAGAAGTTGTCAGAAAATTAACATCTTTATCATTTGATGAAGTATTTGATGGACTAAAATGAACTTTTATTTCGTATTTTGTGCTATACTTTCTTATAATAAGTCTTTGCGCAAAGTGTTCGATTCTATTGCAATACACTATCGACTTGTGAAGTATTCAAGCTTCCTATTCTGTTGCAAAGAGCAATGTTCGAAGTTCACATTTTATTCAAAATACATTTTTTTTGGAAGAACCTCTGAAGCAAGTAAAGCCAAAAGCTAAATATTTTTTATTAAAAGCTCTTATAACTTCACTATCGGATTCATGATTCTTTAAACTGTTCGGAGAATCACAATCCTTTCTTAGTTTCACAAAAGATTAACATTTGATATGCTATTTCAAGCCATTGATATCTTCTCTCTTTTCATTCATAATATTGTTAATATTTCAATTGGTGAGGAACTTCATTTACGACGATAATGTATGTTTTGTGAACAAGAAATTATTGAATAAAAAACGTTTGTTCTGTTTAATTGTTCGATAAAATGGAAAAATGTCGACATTTATATAAATAAATATTGTTCTGAATAATAATTTCTGTTAAGGAATATATTGATAACGATAAATAGTCTTCTGTTTTCTTTTTGCTTTGCGATGATTTATTCGATTACGCTGTCTATAAAAGCTCATTCAATATATTAGAACATGACAATGAAAATAATCCTACTTACTTTTGTACTGGATCAATATTAAAGATATATTTTAAAATATCCATAAACACAACGAATCCGATAACAGCAGAAAGAATAATAATCGCAACTAAAATATAATAATTAATAATTAATAGGTAATAATTATTGTACATACTTATTCCACATGATTCCGATACATAACGACGAATGGTACGATGATGAAATTCATTCTCACAAAAAACGACCAAAATATCCG